AATACGAAAGATAATGGAAGATACACCATTTGGTCATTATTAATATATGGAACTTAAAGCTGATTGATCTGAAGGATGGTGTAGGACTTCCCGGTAAAACGTCCTCCAATATTCAGGAGTTGGTCTTGATACACAATACAACTTGAAAGATATATTATTTTTAAACTGTATACATGCCTTTGAGGGATCGAGGTTGTGGTGGCAATACTTTGACTCTCGGCCTTTGTGGTGTTGAATGAGTCATGTGGTTTTATTGTACTGTTTTGTTGGATTGTATTTGACTGAAAAGATCTAAAATGATTTCTATGTTATACGGAAACATTTCTTGTGAACAGTGTAACTTTTAAGTGTCTGTGGAGTTGTGGGTTTACCAGGAGGGTTTTGTTTGCTTATGGTACAAAGACTGAGGTGTGAGGTCTATTAATAACCACATAGGGGTGAGATCTGTATTATGCAAGGGTATTATGCAAATATTAAATGACATGGTTATTTAAACACTTCCATGACGTCAATCAACACAGGTGAAGGAACTCAATTGAAGTTATTGGTATAGCAACAAATTCAATATAATACGAAGAAACGTTTGTACCAGAACAATCATTTAGATCTCAAACATTTGCAGTCAATGTTTACAATCTTAAGAGGATTTTATAAATCAGGAACGACAAAGGTTAAGTTGTTTTAGATTTAGAAGGACTTTTGATGCCTCTGTTATGATGGGCAACGCGTCAAATTACCTAACTAGCAAGAATTGTAGAGACAAACAGAAAAATATAATCTCTCGGATCACGTTTGTAGTTTTTCAGTTTAGTCGCAGAGAATAAGTGTTTGGTGTTGCAAAACTTGACAAAATTAAATGTGTTTTATTACATGCTGTTTGCTGGTCTTCTGATGTAATTGAATCATGAAAATATGACTTGCTAAGTATTTCGTTAATTAATATGGTAATTAGGCAAATTCCGGTCAGACTGACAGCCTTTGTGATTGCCAGACCATCCATGTTGATAAGTTGATATGCAAAATCATATTTCAATCTCTCGCGTCAGAGATACCAAGTAACAAAGAATATTTTATATTTTTATAAACTGATGGAGATTTTGTCTATAGAATAAAAAACTGAACTGATTATGGGCTATGTAAAGTAATTTCTAGATTATGGAACATTAAATGGGATATAATTCTTATCAGAGTCACAATTCCTGCTGCGTTATATCCTCAGTAACTAACTGCTTTACATGTGATAATTGTATGAAGTTTTAAGAAGGTAAAATTAAAAGAAACATGATGACCCGTACTTAGTAAAATTAACGTCGTATCCCTCACTAAAGTCTCCCACTAAGCTGTTTATAATCAGACCCGCCCATCTAGGTCAACCATTATCAGCAACAGATTACAGGATTCTGGTCAATAACAGCTGTGCCTCCTTCCCTCCTGTGCAATATGGCGACGAGATATTCACACGTTTATTGCGGTTTTTGATAGAATTCCCCATTGTAGTATTTTTTTGTTATTACCTTTTTTTTATCTTACACACACGCACGCACGCACGCAAACTATCATAACATAAACACGTCTAATTTTTATAACAAGAGCAGTATATGTGACCACAATGGTTGAAGAGGAAAACAGGCATTGGTCCCCTTAATTCTTGGCAAAGGTAAGTGTTAAACAAGAGCAGAAGCAGCAGTAAAGGTTTAATTTCCGTGTTGGAGTAGAGAGGACGACACTGGGAGTTAGAGAAGTGGAGGTATTATCTATTACAATGATGAACTGATGAAGAAGGCGAGTGGAATCTAACTCAATGTGTATAGACAAGGAGCGAGTTGGACCCTGTTGTGGTTCAGAGTTGTCTTAATATACGCTGGGCTGGCTGGGTGTGTGTGTGTGGGTGTGTGTGTGTGTGTGTGTGTGTGTGTGTGTGTGTGTAAGAATGAGAGATGAACAAGATTGTCTAAATGGGGATAATGAATAATGGGGGTAAGGAGTTGTCAGTGTAAAAGGTACATAACGTCATTGATCAACAGTATCGGACTTACTATCATCAGCAAGTACCAATAGATCACGTAATTTTGTCCAGATACGAGTAAAGGGTCGACTAGTGTAGAAATAAAGTCAATTAACATCAGTCCAACATTATTTCTCTAAATTAACGCTTTAATAAAATGATCTGTGTTAGTAATTAGAGTTCAGTTTAGACTCGGCTGTACGTGAGTGATTTATTCTAGCTGTTATATGATAGCACCTTGTAATATTTATCAAATGTAGTGTTAATGTTATCATTGAAGGGTCAGTGATCCATCCTTCGTCCATCTGAAGGATTTGTCATGTGGTTCAGACAATAAGGTTCCATTAGGCATATAACTGGTGGTAAGTAACGCAAGAGGAGGTGTAGTGACCAAAAGATGCACATTGTACGATGATGAAATAATATCCATTTATATATATAGTGTGTATGACTAATGAGATAATTTGCTTCATCATTAATCACGGTGTCGGGGGAGTGTATTAGGAGGTTCATTATCTGTTACCAGTGAGGCAAGACAGTGTAATAGCGCCATCCTGGAGTCAGTCAGCCACCACACCCCCAGACCGCAGTCAATCACACGCTTCGAGTTTTTTTCCTCGAAGCTTTGAATCCGGAGAAGCCAGCTTGGCTTCGAGAGAGAGGCTTCACTGTAGCCTAATTTTCCAGGCTGCGGGAGTATTTTAATGAGGTATATTCATTGTTGCGAACCTTGGATTAGTGAGGCGGAGGACTCGCTGGCGTGAACGTTTTAAAGTGGAGTATTATTTAAGTCGGGTCAGAGATGGCGTCCCGGAGGCTGTGATCACTTAACGAAATGCTGCTTCTTTAAACTATTTTCCATTGGAGATTATACCGGATACTATTTTAATCGAATTATATAAAAAAACAAATCAATAAAAAACAGCAGACGCTTTTGTATCTGTATTGATGCGCATTAAGTCATGATTTTGCATCACCTTCGGGAAACACATAGAAATATTAGCGTTTTAATTTCGAATTACCTACTCTAAATTTTTACTCTATTAAAGGAACCCCATTTGATAACACTTATTTATCCTTTATCAGTCTCTATCATATTTTCTCTTGCTCTTTCTCTTTCTTGTGTTATCTGTCCCTCCGTGTGTAGAAAAAATCACCATTAAATATTTCAGTCGTGGTGCAACAGTTAAAATAATCAGCAGGACTCCTCGCTCAGTCGGAGATATTTGTTAAGGAGGAACTCAAGCGATTAACAATCAAAATAGGTTAATAAAACGACAACGAAAAGAATTAATGACCAAAAAAAAACCTCACACACACACACACACACGCGCACACACACACACACACACACACACACACACACACACACACACACGCACACACCGTCTATAACATAGAGACAAGGAAACCTGCTAGTCACGATAAAGATCTGAGCAAAGTTCTGGGATCTAATATCTCTGTCACAGACCGGACGATGCCTCCAAGACGAACATTCAATCTCTGCTAAAATCCTCAAAAATGTTCTCGCCGGGCGTGTTGGTCCGTTTAGCAGGGGATCATTTCAACGTCCTGATGGGCAGCATTAGTAACTATTCAGTACCAATAGCGAGATCCTGAATGGCTGAGAATTATACTACCGTTTCCTGTTCAAACATTTGCCGGACTGAAGCATTTTTATGGCTTGTCGAACCCAGTTAGTATTTTCCGATATTGGGGAGCTCAGTACAAACGTCGTAATTTCTTCTAATTGCAGTGTAGTTTTAACCCATTTTATACGGCATTATTGCTCTCGCTGTTAAAACGATAAGCTGGCAGCAAAAATTAAATTGTGTCCAAGATAGCGAGAGCAGGGAGAGAAATTTACGACAAGTTTTTCATCAAAGAATCACACAGCTGGCATTCCGTATCATATTGTACACGATTTAAAGAAGGTTTGGACTTAAAATGATCTTCACAGACCAGAGTATAGTACGAAAATAAAAGAAAATTTAGAAACTAATAAAAACACCAGTTAAGGTTATGATAGTGTGGATAGGGTAATAATCTTAAGGGGATTATCCTGGAACTTGGAAAATTGTTCCTAATTGGCTGATGATTTGTAGTTGGTGTTATTTCTTCTAAGAATCCAAGGTGATTGTCATCTAGGTGAAGGGATCCGTCTTGTTTACAAATGCATATTTTCAATTTACTTTCTCTCGGTCACAAAAATTACGCTGCGTCACAAAATGCCGGTATTCTGACCCCGTCCACAGAAATTGGAGGCATTTGACCTCACAAAGAACGAAACAAAACAAGTAATTGAAATCCACTCACGCTAACCCCTGGTCATCCACAGACTCCAAGCCTGAATTTCCATGTAACCCTTTCATCCCTCCCTACCCTTGCACTAGCTCTGCTTGGTAAACTGACGAAAATTTCAAATAAATTTCATGAATTCTCGGATTATTTAAGGATTCGGCCGATTCGGCAGAGTGTGTGGGAAATCCAATGTCTCGGTAAACGATTTTGTCCGTATTAATGTCGATTGTCGCACAGTCACTTTAATAATTACCTAGTTAATGCAAAGTAAACGTGCAATTCAGTACACAACTATCAACTGTAAGTAGTGTACAATCAACAAAAGACCAAGACTAACACTCACTTTTCACTACTACTTCCATGAGGTGAACCTTAACAGTAGGTGCTGGTGGTACTGAATACTGCAGGCAGAGAGGAACTGATTAATGACCTCTCGGTTTGATGGTGAACTTCGACTCCTGACCCGATACCTTCATTTGCTTCCGAAATAAATGCAAACCCTGATTGTTTCATATAAAGAAATATTATGTTTTGAACTTCCTTGGAGCATCAAGAGGTTCTGCCTCGTAAAAGGCCACAAAAAGTACTATTAACCTGATGATCATTGTTATAATTTGTGAACATCCCGAAACAGTGCACGAAGGTACAGGGGCACTACAGGTGTATTAAGACTTATAAACACATAATTTGAAGGTGACATTACCTGCAGGTTATTGCAACTATTAGGACAACATCAATTTAGCCATTAATGTTTTGTAGTTATAATATTATATAATTACAAACATACTTGAGACAATATAGCATTATGGTCACATTTGTTGGTGGTAATTTTGCGGAGATTTATGTAGATATGGCGAGGCAGCCTGTAGTGTATTGTTGGAAGTGTTTCATGGTCATCATCACAGACCAATATTGTTGTTCGTTCATAAATTGAGCTGCTCTCCTGTTCTATCCTATCGTTGAGAAAAACAAGCACGTGCCCAGGTGGATGGAGGTACGGCAGGCGTATTGATTAACTCGATCAGTTGGTTCCCGCCATCGTCAAGTTAACATTCCCTTGGTGGAAAGATTCGTCGGCGAGGAGGAACTGTAGAAGAATGACCATGTTGGTCACGAAGGTGGACGCCATCTGTGGTGTTAATATATTATTTTTGCGTGTGCTTAAGACGTCAGAAAGTCAAACTAACGTCCAATTTCCTGGGTTTCCAATATTTGTATGTCATGCGTTTTAGTTAAATTTTGACTGACAACCATTTGAATCTATTATTGAATTTACAAAACTTCAAGATTATACAGTATATAGATAAGAAGAGCTGTGAGTAAACATAAGGCGGTGGACACAAGGTACCTACAGCCAAGATGTTGGTGCGGGAGAGGAGGAAGAGACCGCACGGCTGGGTGTTGAGGGGTCGCTCACTGATCTGGAGGATCTTCTCAACCTGCCGAATTGATCGATTTACACACAAACGCTTAGAACAGTTCCCTTAATGCATGCTCGTGGCGTGGGTCAAGGGCGATATATTTACGGTACAGTTGTGTAAGATTCATTGTGCGAGCAGCGCATAGTTAAGTGTTAATATAAAGAAATTATATCGGTGTTAATATTATTGGGTAAGTTATCGTGGTTGTAAGATTATAAACTGCTGTGATATCAAGAGAGTGCTGAAGATAACAATGCCTGTGAGCAAACATTACGAGCTTTCATTTCAAAGCTGTTTTGTGATCAACACTGAGGAGGAATTACCATTGTGCTCCTGTTCACGAGTGTAATTGGCTGCTCGTTTGTGACATTATGGTGACAGGGTCTAGGCTGTTGACAATTGCGCTTGGGGGCAACAAAGAGCTACGCGTAAACACAAAGTAACTTGTTTAAGATAATTCAACTTACCTCAGTCTCCAGCTGTGCCTTCACTCTCTCGTTTGTCTCGGCTAGGTCGGTTCTCGGTACGATATGCAGTGGGGCACCACCCTGTTAAAGGAACCTGTGAACTGAGGCGGTAAAGGTGGGGTTGTAGATTGTGTGAATTTAGAGAATAACTTATGAATATAAGTTTGAGTTGAAGATACGAGCTGGGTAACTGTATGGTAAAGTTGTAATTTAGTGTTGCGAGAAGGTTTCGGATATTGGTTAGGATTTGTAGTTGTAATGTAAAGTTATAGGTTAGGAGTGACTTAATGATTGCTTTAGGGAGAAAACTGCATATGGCTTATCTATAAGTGATTATTTAAAATTTTGTTCCTTGTATGTTAACAAGACAAGAGTTATGAACTTTAGCTAATATCATGGAATTATTTTTAGAACAATGAAAGTCAAGCTTTATCTGAAGCTACAGTCATTCAGTCAGTAAGGCAATCTCTAATACTTACCTCCTCTCGTAGGACGTCAGCTACGTATCCTTGGACGTAGATGGCAGCGACGTAGGTGGAGAAGACGGTGACGGACAAATAGTATTCAAACTTAGTGAAGTTTTTGGGGTAAACGATGAGGAATGCAGCTAACACGATGCTCCAAAGGAACTTTTCCATATTGGCGAGAAACATAGGCAGTGACAAAATGTCGGACAAGTCCTGGTGAATCTGTCTCAGTTCTATATACTGCTGGCGGGTCTTACGGATTCTTTGCATGGGAGACATGTAGCTCTCATCTAGCATCGTGTGGCGTGACAACAAACTCTTCAGGATATCGTTGTTGTGACTCAAAACTCTTTGGAGGATATGGCCAGCAGTCACGTAGAGAATCATGGAAAAGGACACAACCAGCGGCATGCAAAACAAGGCGTAAGGGATACTACAATAAGCGAAGGTAAACTGTGTGTCCCATAATCCCCTGTACCATGACGTTCGGGTAAGAACCTCTTGCACAACAAGCAGAATAATGATGGATACTTTGAAGAGATACGGCAGAGGCTTCATTTTGCAATCCTTTAGCTGTGTGAGGTTCTTCAAAGACTGAAGTAATGTAGAGAGACGTCGGCCCTTCACCCAGAGGACGATGATTATAACAACGGGGATCGAGTGCGTGAAGAGATGATACCCACCGCTGCACACCATGAAGAACAAGGGAACATCGAAGATATTCTGCAGCATCAATGGAGCTGTTGGTAAATAAAAAGGTCCCATAAATCTAGGGCAACTTCGATATGTCTTGAGCAATAGAAAAATAGTAGATGTGTTTTTTGTTTACATAACTCTCCATGATATATACAAACACTATACTGTACATACATGGCTCAGATATACAACGTATACAGACAGTGAAGATGTGCAAACAATCTATAGTTATGGAAAAAAAAAGACTTCAGCAGGCAGGCAGAGAAGGAGCGAGGTGGTGTAGATGGAGACTTTGCACCCGGGGTAACGTTCACTAAACACAATATGCTGTAACTCAATACACCAAAACAACCACAAAAAACACCGTAAAAGTTGATTGATTGAGGGGATTTTTCACCGCCAAACCCTATGCTATGGTGCTAAGACTTCACCATACACCCCTTGGCCTTCCATACACCACCTCCCTCACCGCCTAAGTCTTTTTGTCCACAACTGTAAATACAGGAGGCAGTGCAGATATACAGATAAATAAATCACCCTCCCCAATTTTATTTTGCTTCAGACTTTTTATATTTTTTTACCCACATTTCCATTCATTTCCCTGTTACTGCCGCATTTAAACCTCCCATATCTATCACACTCTGATTTGTCTTCCATAAGTTCACTCCTATTCTGGTACTATACGTCAAGACTAACACTACCTTATCGCTCACTCCTTATCTTCACCCTGATCCATAATATTCTAGTAGTGACACACTCAAATTCCAACAGTATGTTACTCCTCAGCGCTGCCACACCATACTTCACCCACTAATTCCTTACACACACGTAAACCAATAACAAGAAGGTACATGTAAGCCTAACAGGTGCAAGTAACTATTGTATAATGTTGGAAAGGAGTCACACACGTCCCAAGCGCTTGTGTGCAATTACATATTTTGGGGAATAAATCAATCTTGTGTCTGTTCCCCTGGAAACGTAAAAACGGAAGTGCGTACTTGTGTGCTTGCGTGCATGCGTTACTCCTAATTATAATACACACATAGTTTTATAAAGTTTAAAAAAATAAATAAAATGTGGACAGTACTTACGAACATAGACAATTAAGAATACACAAGTAAGGACGAGACTAAGAGTAGCAGTAACAAGTGCCAGCAGAGTCTTGTGGAGCGTCCACTGTCCACCGCAGCTACCCAGAGGAAGGAGACCCAGGAGGACGGTCAACCACTGCAGCCAGGACACCATCCACATCCTACCCATACCTCCAACGCTCTCCCGTCCACCACCTTTATCCTGTAGCTGAGGCGACCTGAAAATACACAATACAAACTAGAAATTATCACAAGATGCTCATCACATAACGTCATACATGTTTCTAGAAGTTATGCGACTTTATGCTAGACGTTATGTTACTTTATTCTAGACGTTGTTACTTTATGCATAATGTTGGGTGTTACGTAAGGGATACAACACAAAAAACAGTTTTAAACTCCTACCTTACGGGGATGTCACTTATGTTATTTAATTTTCCTAACACCAGACGATTTTATTCAGCACAGCAATATAAGGAGTTCACTTATACGAAACACAGCGGCTGTTGCCATAAGGAACGTACATGTGTACCGGCACTATATTGCAGGTAATAATACATAATCTTGATGCTTGACACACCTGGAGTATATGCCGACTGAATATTATGCTCTCAGTATACAAGGTCTTACCTGCACCTTGTATGGTAAGCAAACAATGTTCTTTGTTAGGTCTGTAGTGTTTCCCATATACGAAGGATAAGATTTGTGTAAGTGAATAAAGATAAAACCTTATAAATTGTTTCATTGACTATAACCAGCCACTAATGGACTTTTTGGATGTCTTGATGGTCTACAGATCCGAGTCTCGAGTAGCATCAAATGCCTTAAACATGAGACAAATATTTCAAAATAAAACCTACAAGAATTCTTTGATCGTAATGAGTTTACTACTGTACCTGTTATCAGTGAAGGCAATCATCTCTGTACGTGCGATAGCTGAAGAGGGTACGAAGGAAGGTGATACGTACATACAACTTTCACCACACCTTCTCTCTATGATACTGAATGAACAAATAACTCGGGAAGTCTTCGAGTCCATGACGCAGGTAACTCAACATCGGAACACTGCAGAAGGATCAATGAAGTTCACCTCGCATATACAGAGTAATATTTCGCTTCCAGTAGCCTTTAACTTGAGTGTTTATCGAGTGTTTACTAATGTCTGCACGCTATCGTAGAGGCAAATAAAAGACTCATACAGGGGGTCTGTAATGCTGTTGTGAATAGTGACCTCTGAACCTTAAGAACGACAGTAAATCAACTGCAATAAAGTCATGGTGACACTCAAGCCCGGTGGAACTAATAGCTGAAAAGTTGAGGGGAGAAACAGGTGTGGTGGTGCTATTGGGTAATGTTACGTGGTTACCTGTTGCTATTTCTATCAACTAAAAGAAAATATAATTAGTTTTCTTACAGACGCCATAACCAGGTGTATCGTCTTCTTGGTGCTCAGGAAAAAATCGACTTTAAGGAGATAAATTTAACTAATGGGTTTGAGAATAATGAAATAGATTTTTTTTTTTACTCCCATTTAGGAGAAAGAATAACGATTAAGGTTTACACAATTCTTTACTGTGTGTATTTTTTTCCAGGTTATAAAAACATAAATGAAGATATATTGGAGAATATTTACAAACGAAGTGAGAGGAATCCGCAGTCTGGGAGTCTTAGTTATGTAGACACACACACACACACACACACACACACACACACACACACACACACACACACCGACGTCTGTGAGGCAATAAATCTACTGCGTTGAACCGATTTCTTCAAACCAAAAGTAACAACAAACTCTCACCTGTCATCAAACTTTTGGATACGTTGAGTAAACTGAAAACGTATGATGCTTTTTTGTTTATGCTCCGTGTATGTGCCGAGTAAAAATAAGAGAGACGATATACTGTATATGAAACAAATGCATATGATAATAAACAAACACATACAAACTAACAACACGTAACAAAAAAAAAAAAATACAAGACTCCAGGTATCTCAAGACATCAAAATACACTAACTGAAAAAAAACACAACAATAATGCCTTTCCTCATCAAGTTAATGGCCGCCACGGAGGTAAGAATGATCGAAGTCACTTATCAGCATTAGTGACGTCTGTTGACTCTATCGATTTTGGCGAAGGTGAAGTGTTGTTACTAGTAAGTTGACTCACCGTGCCACGGGCGTAGAGAGGAGGAGTCAGCCACATCGTCATCTTTGGTGGTTAATACGGTTGCATCTTCACTAAGTTATGGGACTATTATCGTGACGGTAGCAGGCAATCGTGTTACCAGCAGCAGACTATAGTGTTACCAGCAGCAGACTATAGTGTTACCAGCAGCAGACTATAGTGTTACCAGCAGCAGATCATAGAGTTACTGTACAAGCGAGAGAACATAAAGCTTCACGATCATGGACTCAGAATTCCTCGTCACACACAACAGAGAGAACACAGTAAGGGAAAGAACAGCCACGCCTGGAGCTTCATCTCTGGAGTCTTTCAATATGGGTCAGAGTGTATCAAGACTGGTAAGGTAAGTGAAGACATTACTTTACTTTTAGTGCCACACCTGTTTCACTCTCTCTGTTTACTGTGTGCATAGCCAATAGTGGCATATATACTACACTCGTAAGATCTTCAAGCGTCACCTGGAGAAGTTAAGTCACAGAATATCTTAATACTCATTATGTGACGGACGGTGAATTATAGAGATAGATTTTTCATGATAGATTACGATCGACTTAACTGTAGGCAAAATTTACATAGTATTGCTTTGTTCTGTGTTTACTGAGTTATCACGTTTGTAATATTTCCTTCTTATACTAATTTTAATCATGCGCATTAACTAAGGGGTAGTGGAGATGATTGGGCCTTGTAGCTTCATTAAATATTTAAATGGTGAACAGCGTATAGTTAGGAACCAAGACCTAAGCTATAACTATCCTTCTATACTATATAATATGAGGTCCTGTGGCCGAGTGGATACAGCACTCGCTTTCCGTTCTAAGGGTTAGTGGTTTGAACCTAGCGCACCCCCAGTTCACCAAGCTGTGAATGGGTACGTAATCTTACATTTTGGGGAAGGGAAAGATGGTCGTGTGTAGTGTTGGCTACACTGCTTCCTTGTGTATCGGAGGTTAATTATACGGTGTAGTACACCTACACTCTCCCCAACGGGCATTCAGGCCTAATTGACCTTTCACACTGTTAGCAAAACATTAATTGTCACCATGTTTGTGCAGGGTATTTCTATAGCAAAATCATACAACTTTTCATTCAACTAAGAACTCACCTGTCACTCCAAGCTGAAGGAATCCAATACAATTTACTTGACAATTAACCATCCTGCTTTAATTCTACAAGCAGGAGGAAGACGAAGGTGTGGGAGGTGAACTGTAGTGATGGTGGGTGGCGACGGGTGGTGGTGGAGATGGTGGTGTGGGTGGCCATCCTGTTGGGACTCCTGCCGGGGGGAGACTCCAGATCACTCTGGTCCACCACCAAGAAGGTTCTGGCCTCGTTCATGGCTGTCCTCACTACCTTTGCCATGGTTGCCTTCTTCATCCTCCATGCTGGTAAGTCGCTGAAATCCAAAGGTCTTTTAAGAAGCGTAAACTATTATACCGGTATACATATCTTTGGATCTAACACACACACACACACACACAAAATTAACAAACAAATAAATTATAACTTGAAAACCGTACAAATACAGGACTTTTAAGCATCACGGCAATATTTTATCTTAACCACATAACTCGACGACGTCAATGTATAGTACTAACACGTCTCACACAAACCATCATCTTATAACATGTTACTTTATGGGGTCAGGGCTTTAGAAATGTTGTTTATCCTATTATAAATCTCTTAGTTATTTCAATGTTATTTGTCGTATTATAAATTTCTCTACTGTTAATTTTTCTTTCTTTAGGATTAATAATTATTTTTTTGTATCACTTTCCGTAATTAACTCCATGTCCTCAGGTGATGGACAGGTAGAATATTGCCTGGTAAGAACCATTAAAAACAATCAACATGATTCACTTGTTTGTTATTGTATTGTCATTTACTGAAAACAAATTTTGATATATAATAAACAATGAGTAGTTTCAGTGCTGTATAATTCCCCTTTACAGTGTACGTCATGAGCAGTAATTATGTGAAAGCCAGCACTAATGTCTACACTGTTATAGAAGAGTCGTTTTGTGTAATGCGGACACTTGCTGTATTGTTGATATGCCTCGGCATGTGGTCCCATCGCGGCCTCTTCCTGTCCTGCAGCCAGCGCCTTCACTCCCTGCCTCCCTTACCCGGCCTCGCTCCTCAACTCAGACTCCACGTCTTCCTTCTACTGTCCCCGGCCGTGTACATTACATACGTGTTACCATTATACTTCCGTATTTTTCCAGGTGAATGGGCTCTCTGGGTTTTTTCTTTAACTTTTATTTTTACGGAGATTGCCATGATTTTCCCTGCACTCGCCTACTTGAGTCTTGGCTTGATAATCCGCCAGCAGATGTCTGCAAACAACAAAGTGTTGCAGTTATATCTTACTAAAGAGGAGTTAACAGAGTCATCTGGCGTGACACTGAATAACGTCAATACCGATGATGTTTTGGTAGAGATTTACGACAGATGTGTGAAGCTGCGGCAGCTCTATAGGGACATAGCAAAAGTTGTGTCGTTGTCCCTCCTGGCCAGCAACGCCAACGGCCTCTACATGGCAAGCGTGATGGTCCTCCTTATCATAACTCAACAAGAGCTGTCCTGGCCTTACCTGGTGACACACATCATAATGACTACATCTTATATGGTGATCATCTTCCTGCAGGGATACACCGCTGACAGGGTGAAGGAAGAGGTGAGTATATTACCTTTTATAATCAATATTTTATTCTCTTAAACTTTACCTTTAATAGCGTGAGCAACGAATTTGCATAAAAATTAGAAATATTGACGTCACCTGATTCTGTAATGCAAGTTAGTGAAACAACTATCACAGAGAACCCGGTCACAGAAGGTGTTGTCTTGCTCACCTTACCTGTAATAATATCACCTTCATATAACAGAACATTGTCAGTTTGTCACCTATATAATCCTGATATTTTTTTATAAAGGTATTTACTCTAAGAATGGCGGGTGAAGGTGAGGAAGTCTCGGAATGGATAATACAGACTACTTAAAGTTTTAAATAATTGCATTTTAGTTTGGGCTTCTCTACATTTAGACTTACAATTTTTGTCATTTTCGGCCAAAAAATGGATTTT